CGCCTTTGCTTAAGTTCCCCATCTCCAATAGTTTCCCAGCCGACATGTATCAAATTCCAGTAACAGTTATTCAGACGCCATACGAAGAGATACAAAACATTCAATCGCATGTGCAAGAACCACAACAAAGTAGCGTAGAGGAGGTAAAAGCTGACGGTGCTCAGTTCGAAGCGCAAGCTCAAGCAGAAGTAGAAAAGCAGGAGGGTGTAAAATTGCTGCCAGAAGAGACTGCGACCACACAGGCTGAAACCGCAATCACAGAAGAAAAAAAGGTTGAGAATGTCCCCGCTGTGGAAGCTCAGCCCGAAGCTGTTCAGCTCGTAGTGCAGGAAGCTCAACCTGAAGAAGCTGTAGAGCGTCAACCTGACACCGTACAACCCACTCTGCCCGAACTGGTAGAAAGCGAACCTGAAGCTTCACAACCAGCAGCGCCTGTGGCCTTCAGACCCATCAGCATTGACGATATTGTCGAACTGGTGAAAGAGCGTTTGGATCAGGTGCCAGCCGATGAGAAGGGCGCACCCATGGAACTGCTGATGGAACCTGACAATGCTGACAAGCCCGTCGAGCTGAAATTTAGTTCGGAAAAAGGGCCAGCGCCGCAAGAAGAATCAGCTGAACAAATACCTGCCGAGGATATCATTTTTCCTATTTATCATCGAGTGTCCGAGCCTGAGAGCAGCGATATCAAAGCGCAAGAGGCTATAGCTGTAGACGAGCCAATCGCTGTAGTAACAGACCTCAAAGCGTTACCGCTGGAGACGGATGCCGTACAGAATGCGCCAGAAGCGGTGGTGCAAACAGCGGATCAGGCTGTACAAACGGACGCTGAGAAACTTGAAGCGAACGTAGCCAAGACAGCGGAGAACACAGAGACTGAGACAAATATCGCGCCAGCAAATGATGTAAAGGAACCTGTAAATGCAGTAGCTGTTGAGGTTGCAGCGGCCGATGCACCAGTGGACATTGAAACAGCGGAAATTACCAAAGCAAATCGCTCGTTGAGATCACGCAGCTTGACGAAAGCTAAACTAGATCCACGCAAACGTCGTTTTCTCTTCAGATCGGATGCCAGTTAGAGATTTCAAGCAATTCGAGTATGCCCATTGAGCACACCCTGTACGCCATACGGGGTGCGCATGCGCGTTCGCACGCAACCCGCCCATGAAATTCCTACAGCCTAGGTTTCTAATTTTTCACTATAAATATTACTTTGCTGTTGCATTCGCAAGCGGACTACAAAGTTTGGGTCGGCCGGCGACTTAAGAATAAGTTTTGTATTTGAATTCTTATTCGTCAGCATGCAAATGAAAAATATTCTCTTCTCCAACTATTTTTCTCCTATTTAAGTTAAACTAATTTATGATTTTAGGTCTACTTTTTCATTTGAAAAATTCTAAAAATGAAAAAGAAAATGCAAAATTTTTGAAAAGTGCGTGAAATTCACACAGTTTCGTTTGCCGAAGCCATATAAGAAAAAAAAACTAATTTATTTTGTTGTTATACGAAGTAGAAAACGAGGAGTGTGATTTTTATATTTACTACTAAATACATAGTTTATATTGAAAATTGTTTAAAATGCTCCACAATTTAAGTTGAACAAAAATAACAACTGAATAAAATTAAAAAATAATTTAAAATATCTACTAACATTTTTAATTTATTATCTGAGTTGATGTGAAAATATATCGAAAACATGTGAAAGCTCGAAGTCAAGCAAAGCTTTCGACTAATACAGCTAATGTGTAAGTTAGGTAGATTTTTAGTTAACTTTTTTAAACATTTTTCAAACATATATATTTTTTTTTTATTAACCAACTGGAACCTTGAACCTCGACGCCCTCTCCCTGCTTGTTGGCTACAGTCGTGCCTAAGAATGAGTGCTTTGCTTTTATTGATTGGCATTCATCTTATGGACGATTGTTGTTGATGATTATTAACTGCTCAAAATTTGTGTAAAGAATGTAAATTTAAATTTTTAACGAACGAAAATTAGTTATTTGAAAAAAATATAAAAAAGTTGTTTCTTAATTTTTTGTGGCGTATGTTTTAATATATTTTTTAAAATTTTTTTTTTCAGTAAATTAAAAAAAGGCAGTAGTGTCAAACCTAATTTTGGAAATATTAAATGTCGTTAAAAAGCTTAATTTTTATTAAGTTATGAACCGATCTTTAAAAGTTTCTATTAAGGATTGAAAGTACTCTATCTTTAGAGGATAGTGATGTTGTATTTCAATATTATAGAATATTTTTATGAACATAAGATAATGTGTACGCCCGCATGTTTCGATTTAACGACTTTCTTAGGGCGAATGCAGACGATATAACAAAATTCATACAAAATTTAGATAATTAAAGCAAAATATATGTTAAAAAAGATGTAGCAGCTATTTTTCAAAATTATACAATTTATATATTAAACTAATTGATTTTCGTCGTGTTGAAAAGCTAGAAATAGAAATGGAGATATAGCCCTTTAAATTTAAACCGTAGTGGAGAGGGGACACTGTCCCTTCGGAGATATGTCTCGTTATTCGCTGATAGCGTGGAATGACAAACTGTGCCGAAAAGAGAGTTATCGGCCGATGAGACTCACCTTTTTTAGCCCATTTCCCCGCCAACGACATAATGAGCACCCCAGATAGATATATTCTAATGCCGATATACCCAAGTATAACAAGCGTACTGGCTGTATAGCCATATCCAATGAAGGACGCAATGAGAACTACCGGCTTAAATAAGTAGCGCTATCGGTTCCAACGAGTCACCATCACATAATGCGATTTCCAAGCGCCGTCATGGTTGAGCAAAGCTCGCTACCACCAGAGGGAAATTTCTAGATTTTCAAGGGTCTCTCTCTTCTTATTTTCCTCTTATGCTTTCTTGAATCACCCTAATTATGCCCTGACATTCTAGTGTGAAGTTGGGGGCCGTAAAAGCAGCAGATGCCATGTGGAGGAAACAACAAGGCGTCACATGCCCTGTGGTCCACGCTGATTACACCTAAGAAAAGGGCGGGTTTTTAGGTGGCTCCATCTGCTGCAAAAGCTGCGATAAACAGATTTATTGATCGGCATTATCATTGGAGTTGGACTCAATACTATCTCGAAGCAGAAAGATGCGAAGCAACCCTGCTATGAGTGGAAAATTTGCATTTACTGTCCAAATCATAAATGGTCAATTGCGTTCGTTATCACACCAAGTTGGGCACATTTGATGAAGGGTATACACGGGGCTATAGAACCTCATTTGCTAAAGAAGGAATCAAGAAACTTTGACGAGGTAGGAGAGGTAGCATAAACTACTCTTTCAATTATCACATAAATAATAATGAAGTAATTATATTTGTTCGAATTTTTCTTTGAAATACCTAAATTTATTTATCCTGCTAAGTTTTCCCGGTACTTCTTGGCAATCAAATGAAGCAAAAAACATGAATTAGTTGATAAAACTTTAGTACTTTGGAGAATTCGATCGAAGGCGTTAATATAAACCACATTTTATACTTCCAACTTGAGCATTCATGCGATGATATTGAGTCTATAATTTCCGCCTAGGTTAGGTAAAACTAAAAAAATTTATAGGCTAAGAAAACTTAGTATCCTAGGTGCCCTTTTTATGTAGCTTTTGAAATGTAACGGCCTTCAAAAACATTTTTTTTTTGAATTAATAATTATTTCAGGTTCAGTGTACTTTTTGAAAATTTTGATGAGATAAGGTTTCATTGGGTATCGTTAATAATAGGCTCGTGGCTGGAACTAATCTAATAAGATTTCTCTATATACAACTTGCTGTACGCGGTTGAGTGAACATAGGCACTTTACAAGTCCTTTTATCTCTGCTCTGGATAAATACTGATTGTAAACGACTTGCCAGGGATTCTCCGAGTGACTGCACACGTCAATAAGGGAAGCCACCGGTCTATTAATTGGTGGGAGTTCTAACAGGTTGCTGTCGGATCGAAGATCACATAGTAAGATGAAAAATCGCAGCTGACCCTTACTGTTCTTGTAGGATGATAAAAAACGTCTTTCTTAGCTAAAAACTGAATTTTTCGACAATGTTGATACAAACACCTCTGCTAAATATTTCAAAAATAAGTTACTTTTTGAATATTCTGCATGCAGACACATGTGACTACATACAGCTATTATTACGTTTGATTAAATAAAAAATAAATAGAACGCTGGTGATAAGCCTGTAAACATTAGAAGCTACCTACAGGCAGCTTTCGGGGGCAAAAGGGTTAATACGTATAAAAAAGTTCACATTAATTATCTTCCTAAAGTAATTGGTCTCACGCTTTATTTTTTACTTCATAACTGACTTTCTTAAATACTAAACAAAATACACATCGGTTGGCTGCGCTTATTTAATATAACAATTTTTTCACACAAAATTATTCTATCTAAAATTTATTATAAACATGTGTTTAATTTGGTAAAATTTCTAACATTTTTTAGAATAGGAATTGTTATACAAATTTTTTCTTAAATGATTTATTTTTAAACTTTGGGTAACTAGCTGTATAGTTTCAAAACCGAGTAAATTTACATTTTTACATAGAAGTAGTTACAAAAATATGTAAGGCCATATTCATATTACATACTTAGTTATCTTTTAGCATAAAAATACAAAAGAGAAAAATTAAAGTTAATAGAAAATAAAAGTGATTAACTATAAAAAAAAACTTTGCTTACAATCACATTAAAAATACTTTGGTTTATAATTCATTCTTTATCAAGTTTGCTTTACACTTCATTCTATAGTGATTTTTGATTAACTGCTTAAGTTGCTTTGCGTAAAGTTTTTATCAATCAAAATTTTACACAAAAAAATATTAAAAATTTAATTTTGAAATAAATGTTCTATAATAATATGCAACAAAAGTATGTTAATGCACTTTTCCGCTCGGATTTAACGGTAATTATACTTACTTATTTATATAAGTAAAAAATTTAATTTAAAATTTTTAATATAATTCAATAACAGCTTTAACATCAAAATATTTTTATGAAAGCGGAAACAAATTCATAAAGTATGCTACCCTTCATCTGATAGAAGAAAATCAAGTGACTTGTAGGCGCTTGGTTTGGTTGTACTTTCTATTTTCGAATTCTTGAAAAAAAGCAGCCTTTTAGGCTTTCATATCCGTTTGTTTCTATCTTGTTTCTAGCAGCCATAAAGTAAAATTGAAATACAAAGTAGCAAAAATATATATGAAAAACACAAAAATTAGTTAAAGAAAACATTATTTTGCTCCACTGTACAAAAAAGTGAAAATATACATACCTTTTTTAATAAATTATTAAAAATATTGGAAATATTTTGTTTAAACTTAAGAATATGGAAATAGTCGCTATTTGATAGAATATTTAAGCTTATTTCCTACTGAAATTTCAAACTCGAACGGAATTAACCGTTGACTTGTGTACATATAGATACATACATATATACAAAAATGCAATTTAATAGTTGCTTTAAAAAGAGCAAAAATATTTTAGTTCCAGCCCACACTATTTATCCACCTTGTGACTCGCGTAAAAAATACCTTTTAGCTGTCTTATAAATACCAATGCACGCACTTGCCATCTCATTCAAACCTGAAAAAAAATACTTATTTACATATGTCACTTATAAAATGAAAAAATAAAATGCACTGATGTACCAATAACCAACTCACCGCGGCAAGCCTAGGCCTCCGTCTCTTCATTGGCTCCCTCTTGCAGTTCCTCGGGTGTACGCAAATCGATTGCGAATTTCTGTCGTTGTGTTGTAATATTATCTGTCCCAGATTTTTCACCACTCTCCTTCACACGCCGCGAATAATCTTGAAATGCTGCCGCTAGCGCAAAGGTGAGCTTCCGCGCCATCGCACGACTATCACACACGAAGGCATGTACCTCGAAAGGATGTGGATTTTGTTCATCCTTCACCACAATCATTGCGAATACGCGTGTATACACTAAATCTTGCACACCATACGAAATCGTATCGATTGGATATTTCCAATTATTCCAATTTGATTTTGGTGTTATGATTTGCAGGCTAACGCCTTCGGTCGATACTTTGAGATCACATTGTGGTAAGACTTTGTTGGGTGGTAGACTTTTGGCTACGCCAACCATAATATCCACCGGACGGCGCGTATATTTGATGCCCCACAGACCACGCGCCACTTCGGAGCCGATGTATTTTACCTGAAAGGATCAGTTCATTATAGTATATTTTTTCAAGTAAGTATTCGAAATTGATGTTCCAAATATTGTATCAGTATGGGATGGGTTAAGTATACAACTTGGGGCAATTAAATATTATAACCTATAACCAGGATCACAAAACGGGTGCGTTTTTTAATGAAATCGGCATTAAACTTTTGATTGCAGTGCACCAAAATATACTTGGAAAGAGTGTCGAGGGCCTCAGTTATTGCTCTCAGTGGCGGATCCAGCGGGGTTGTTTTGGGGATTAAACTACGTGCCAGTCATTGGCACCACGGGTATGTTTTAATACATAGACGCCATATTATACATACATATGCGCCATATTAAAACACCGCCCGTGGGTCCGCCACTGACTGACAAGTTGTTTAACCCCGAAACCTCCCCCCACTGGATCCGCGACTGATAGCTCTGTTTTCGAAATAGGTCATAAGTAAAATTTGTCTAAGAATTTGAAACAAAAAAAAACATAGCGAAAAAACTACCCATCGCTTTTTCGAAGATACCGTTGGAGTCCTGTACCATTTTAGAATACTTGTATACTTCCTGCTTCGAGAGCTTTCGGAACCTCAAGGAATTTTTTGCTACACCATTGCAGAGCCGTTTAAAATTATTGCGAAATTCTTTTGTGTTCGGATTTTTCCGGGATCGTTTAGAATTTTATATGATAGACGTTTCGGCAATTTTTGGAAACGTTTCGGAACCGCTGGGAGTGTTTTTTCCGAGATGTTCCTCGGGATTCCTCGTATTCTATTTTTCGTAATTTTTTTGTGTAAGACCATTTGGAATTTGCCGTGACTTTTGAAATTTTTTTCTCAGAGCTTTCAGAATACTTCGTACATGTTATATTTTTCGGGAATGATTTGAATTTTATAGGGATCTTTCGGGAATGTCCATGTCCAAATTACATTTTCTGTGACCTTTCAGAATTTTTCGTATTGCATTTTTCGTCATTTTTAGGCGAATTTTTTTGGTACCATCCAGGATTTTTTGAGACTTATCAACTCTTCGAAAATTTTTTCAGACATTTCGGCGCCTCTCAGATTTTTTAATAAATGTTTGTAGATAGTTCTTTATGGGAATTTCTCCGGGGCTGTGCAGGGTTTTTCGGGGTTTTCGTTTCCTTGGAATTTTATAGTGACTTTTCAGGACGATAAATCCCAAATTATCGTTAGTTTTCTGGCTTTTCTGGGAGCTTTCCGAATTCTTGGTAGTTGATTTCACAAAAGATATTTTACGACGCGATTTGCTTTGTAAAACGATTCAAACATGTGTTTCAATCATAACAGATAGTACTAACTCACTCTGCAGTAGATGGTTTATTTAACTTTATATTATTTTTTAATCATAAGTAGTTGACAAAATTTTCTGCAGGGTCTTCGGCTCGCAATTGGACTTGGCTATCCAACTGCCACACACATACATAACACCATACATATTTTCAAAAGCATAGTACATACATTTGGGTTTGGCGCAGTGACCCTCCATAGCATTGGGCATGCGCATGCGCACAGCTACCGGATGTAACGGAGCTCCTCGACGAACGAATATCAGACTGGCACAAATTCAAATTAAAGAATAAAATTAAAAGGTCAACGGTACATACATAAATACAAAAAGCGTTGCGAGTAGTTAAATATTCAAAGTTTACAGCACAGTTCCACAAGTCCATCGAATTTGTGTCAACCAACTTTTAAATATGTAAGTATATACATATATACAAAACATTCTAAAATAATATACATATTTTGTATTAATTGTATGGACGATGGTAGTGAGTGAGTGAGGGGGAAGCATATTAAGTTGTTATCGCAATCGACGAAATTTTAGTGTGCAGCGATGTGTATCGTTCGTTTGGTCTGCGTTGGCGGACAAATACATATACATACGCATACATATGCATATTAGTATGTTAACAATTAAAAAAAAATATATACATATAGTGTAACTCCAAAACTACGTTTCTATGTACATATCTGTGTTCGTATGGAAAAGTAGCTTATGTCGAAAGGCTGGCTTTAGTATAATGCGGCATTCCCTTTATTCCTTAAACGACAAGAAATTTTTTGAAGAGACTTAATAAGAATGTTGACTTGCTAGTATCGGAACTATTTATCGCAAGTTTATTTGCCAAAAGTTCTTCAACGGCTCAGCGCCAGTGAGTCATTCGCAATCATATGCTGCGAATGCCGATTTATACTAAAGCCAGCCTTTCGACATAAGCTACTTTTCCATATGAACACAGATATGTACGTGAAAACGTTTTTACAAAAATTATTTTTCAATAATTACGCAACTTTAAAATTATTGCATACAATAAGCTGGAAAGGTTTTTTTTATTTAAAGCATAGATAATTTCTGTTTAGAAATCCACGAGTGATATATAAAAAGTTTATAAATTATATTTTATTATTTACATGCATATATAGGTACATACTATACATACATACACATGCATGCGCATTAAGTGAGGCATGGGCTATGAAAATGTACACACACTTCCGGTTTTATTTTGCAGTTGGAAATATTTTTACGCTTTGAAGGCTCAGTTAATTTGAAATTGAACTCACATATGTATATATATATGTATTTGTTTTCCGGTTAACGATGTATGTCATAATTTTGCCCTTCTGAACAATCAGGCCATATTACAATTGCTCTGTTCTGGTCCAAAGCTATAGGTGACTTACAGCTTAAAAAAAAAGGTTGTTGGAGCAATCCTGTAAAGGTACCTTGCATTTTAGAGGCAAATTATTAAGTATTGAAAATTCAGTTAAATAAAAACTATTTCAATTTGCCTTCTATGATGTTGCTATTGTAATAAATGGGCGAACCAACAACCACATATATTTCGCAGTGTAGTATATTTAGTAGGTGTTTTAAAAAATATCCACTTAGCTTAAACTCACCTTAAATGTTAATGGCAAATCTTCCACATTCACTTGGGAATCTAAATCTGTTGTCGATGTGGACGCCATGGTCTTTGGCTTTGGTCAGTTTTGAGTAAATATGGAGGATTTCCGGTCTGAATTTCGTGATGTTGAATTAATGGAGTGCTGATAGTTGACCCATAATAGAATTCCAGCTGAAACCAATCAATAAATATTTGTAATTTCTTGTAAATTTCTTAAGATATCTATTGGCAATAAATATTTAAAGATTAAGATGAACCTAGCAAAAAAATTTCAACGTAAAATTTAAAAGAGAACTACTTCAACAACTATGTCCAAGAACTATGAACAAGCGTAAAAATATATCAATAAATTTTTAAAGTTTATGAAGAACTCTATGGAAAACTGGTTGTCTCTGTCAGAGAAGGGTCGATCTATGAACGCGGGAACATTACTATAGTATTTATGGTTAATCCAGAATCTGAGAAAAATTTCAGAACTAGCTTTAAACCGCAATAAAGCGGATTTCTGTTAGCCGCAGAGAACAACTGGGACGACGGGAAATATCACCGTGCCGCAGAGGAGAAAAAACGAGCCATACGGAGTCACGCAGGGATTAGGCGCAATGTGAGCTATGTAATTGGGATCGACACAAGGAGCTGAGGAGGGAAGCAAAACATATGTATGTATGTATTTTATGATAATACAAGTAAGAACACTGTGCGAAAAAAACTCGAAACCCACGAAGCATTAAACTGAGTTTTGGGTTTTTCTCTCTGGCGTCAGGATTTTCTTAAAAGGATTTTGTAGTTTCAAAGATATGATTAATTCCAAAGCGATTTAAAAAACGCAATTTACTTTTATTTTATTTTATTTATTTTTTACTAATAAAGTTATAAGGTAAGCAAGGAAAGCAAGGGATGAACAACTGGCGCAAATTCGCACAGGAGAGAGGCAATTGGAGAAGCTTTTTGGTCCCGGCCCAGAACGCCGAACGGTTTTAGTGCCAAATAAGAAGAATAGAAGAAAGTTAGAAGGACGAAATTCTAGGATGTGGTCGAGTGTGTATTAGTCCCGAAAGGACATTTTCAATACCTAATCATCTCAGAGACAAGGGAGAATTATTTTAAGAGCAACCGATGACCGATGGTATCCAAAACGTGCTTTAGTTATGGATGGAAAATTTTTTCACCTGAATGATAACAGCAATGAAAACAGCGGAGCCATTGAACCCGATTCATAGTCGGAAAATGTATGCCAAGGCGTATGTAACGTAGAGAGACGCTACAATGCAGGTGTTTCGTTTGTAAACAAAAATCAGCTGTTCATTATGGCCGCTTACGCTTACGCACAAGTCAATTTCATACAGACAATAGCAATACATTCACACTGTTTTACTAATAAATTAACACTTATCTCATTGTCTTCGTTACTGTGTTTGATTTTTTGAAGACAGTTTACTGTCTGTACACCTATTTTACTCAAACATTATGACAACTAATGCATATTCTCAATTGTCTTGCTTTGTGTAAACGCAAGGTTATACAACTGTCGGCATTGCCGGGCTTATTTGCGTCAAAAAATGAGAGTTGGCCAACGTTCGTTAGCTCCATCGACGTGCAAGTGTTGCCAATCTCTGGCGCCCTCTATGCAAACACACACTGAGTGGACTAGCTGTCAGTTTCATCCGCCAGCGGAACGTTCGCAAAGTACCCATTTTGACGGTGCCATTCCGGTTATAACTTCGTAAAATTGGAGTGCTAGTTTACTAATTTGGGAGCCAGCATTAGTCTGTGAGTATTCTCCGAATAGAATTAAAGATCTTCTCACACACCCGAACCACTTATGGTTTTAACTTAAATCTTTAAATAAGGGCTCTTTGTATGAAATTTAAAATGAAAAGCCCCGTATATAAGACAAGTGGTAGCCGTTATCAGCACAAAAAAAAATTGTTTAAAAATAACATTTGCTTAAGTACACGGTGAGTAACTGGAATGAATGTCACCTACTTGTTCGAAGCAATGAAGAGTTAAATAAATATACGTGCACTTGTACGTATGTACATATGTGCATGCATAGATATGTTAAGTACCCAATTGGAAATCGACGACTCATAAAATGACAGCTTGCATGACCCACCACCTGCCGTATATGACATACAGACTAGTTTTTCTTTTCCTCTCCTAGTTAATTTGTAATCTTTGGCCGGGATTTTTTGAGTAAAACCAATTTTTTGGCTCTTACGCTTTTGCCAAGTGTTTGGTCGAGCTTTTTTTCGATTTGTGCCAATGGTTTTAGAGAGAAATTTTTTTGGTCGAAAGTTGCCAGTGACTGCCGAGAGGCGACAGCTATTAAGAATATTTTTTCGTTGCAAATATTGCCATCGGTGGGTAAGGCTGAGTTCTAAGTTGCATCAATGCCCCTTTTATTGCTAAACTATAATCGAAGAAAATGCCCATTTTGCGCAAATTAATTCCAGTTCGGCGCATGAACGTGGTTGAGCATCTTGGATATTTCCATATGTTTTAGTTTAGAAAAGAAAACGTCTGATGAATTGCATTGATGTAAGTTGTAACTCATTCTAATTTTCCTACTGGGTGCATACCTATGTACGTTTGTATGTATGAAAATTCATATGACTTTTTGCACACGTAAGAACATTTTGAACCAGACAATATTTTGAGATAAAAAACGGTGTTATATGGCTAGACATGCATACGATTACACACGAATGTATACATGTACGTACATTAGTGTGCGCCTTATTTATATGGAGACAATATTTTTTTTTAAGCTACAAAGCAAAATGCCCCCTAGATAGGTTCGTTTGGTCATAGAAACTTGCTCTGCAAAAAATTTACAAAATCGTTTACCGGAAAGACGTTGAGCAGAGCCTTAAGTTTACATACGCTAGTTTATAAAATTTTACATAAAATAGGAAAAAGAGCCTATGATTCGGCAAAAGTGGCTACATCATTTTCATATTTTGTCAGGATTTGAAGTTATTGAGTCTTGAACCTATCGACGGGGAATATTACTTTGTAGGTCAAAGTTGAAAAGTAAGGCGCACCTTAATGTACATACAGTGACTCAAACAAATGATCACATGTATATTTTTTTTTAAATATTCATGCCCATATAAATCACAGTTTCAAACTTTATACCAAATTTAGGAAAATTCAACGAATTTTCATCAAAATTTCTCAAAACAAAAATCTCAAAAGTCAACGCGATTTTTTAGCCGGTAGAAACTTGCACTTCACTAGACTAGAATTGTATGGGCATACACAAAATGTTCTAGAGATTCAGAATAAAAAGTTAAAATTTTGATAAATTTGTTGAATTTTCCTAAATTTTGTAATAAGGCTTGAAACTGTGATTTATATGTTTAAAGCTCGGACGGCATTTTTGTAGAAAAATTACAAAAAAAAAATTTTGCTCTAAAAATATTACGAATACATATTTACAAAAAATCAAAGCGCGTGATTTGTTTGAGCCACTGTATAAACCCATAAAAGTATTATTATTTTAAAATCTTTGGGAAAATTCCCTTTTCTGTTAAAACTATTTATCGGTTTTATATGCATTTAAGTTCCACGAGAACCACATTTTGTGGACACTTTTATTGACAAAATTTGTGATATACATTTCCATGAAGGTTTAGCAATTTTACGTTCTTTTAATTTTACTTAAACATTTATTTCGCTTTGCCGCACTCACAGAAAAGTTTTTTTCATTCAATTTCACAATAAATTAAAAACTCTATTTTATTTTTTTTTTTTAGTTATTTTCACACACTCATTTGTTTTATACATTTTTAAATAACAATGCCATTTATTCATTTATTTTTCTTTAGCGAACTTCAACTGTTTGCGAGCTTGAGAAATTCACAGCCACAATGGGCAATGGAGAAAACATTCGTAACGAAAATTGTTAACGACCGCACCGCACAACAGGCCCGTTGGAATTGTTTTTCCGCCACCGTTGCTTCCGACTTTTTTCGATGCTTTTTGGCTAGCGTACACAATAATCTGTCAGGTCACAGCGAACCGCTGTAGCCAACTATAATAGCAGCACCATAGCGCATTGGGCGATCGCCCAGGTGAGCTGCCAACAACCACCAGCCGATCATTGTTGGCAGCGACCGGTGTGTGCGCGCGCTTGCGCCGGCGACAACGGCGACTGCGCACATTTCCCACAGAGTGTGGTTTACGAAATGGCTCCAAATTACTACAACTACAGTTAGCGGCGTAAATTTTGCTGCCACCGCTATATACATAGTTGATTTGTTATTGTAGTAAGGTAACTATTGTTTTTCCGCTGCTACTGCTGCTGGTGGCGTCTGGCTTTACAACTCACACCGCTGCTGTCAACTGCTTAGTTGTTGTAGGTGCGTGCCTCTCCAATGCGTTGTTGGTTACACTCGCAACATCGGAAACATCAGAAACAAGCAACAATGGCAACAACAATAAAATAAATAAATAATAAAACAAAATCACACCGAATACAATGGCATCAGTGATCGTACAAATGAATGAAATAACAGATAAGCAGATAAAAAAATATTTATGTTTGTATGCGCAAAGTCGCGATATAGACACGCAGGCATGCATTGGCTGAAATTTAAATACATACAGTCAGTGTCAAAAATATGAGTACGCTGACGTTTTGACGATTTTATTTATTTATGTTTTCCATACAAATTTTTTCAAAATTTTTTTTTATAAAAATATACATAGTTTATTCAAAAGCAAAAACGAGCAGAATTATTTTTTTTTGAATTTCATTAGAACTCGAAAAAATTCAAGAAATACCAACAAATTTTCATCAAAATTTTCAACTTTTTAATTCGATTTCTAAATTTTGAGAATGCAGTTTTGAAGCCCATTAAATTTTTGTGCAAGTTTCAATTCTCTAAAAGTTGCCGTTGCTTTTTGGGATTTTTTTTTTCTCATGGGTGTTGCGCATTTTCTTTCATATAACGCATGTGCAAAATATATTTTTATATGGAAGAAAGTACGCAACACCCTCCACGAAAAAAAAATCTCAAATGTCAGCGGCTATTTTTAGAGACTTTAAACTTGCACCTTATTATACTTAAATGTCCAAGAAATCGAACTAAAAAGTTGCAAATTTTGATAAAATTTGTTTGGTGTTTCTTAAATT